GCCGGGAATTTGGAGCAGGCACGACGCGTCGCGACGGCGACAGGTGCCGAGGAAGAAGCGTGTCGTCGTTGGCGACGGTCGACCGAGTCGACGAATCGGGACGTGTATCGTGTGCCGACGCGGCCCGCCACCGACCCTGCACTGCCACCGCATATATCGCCGGAGCACGTGCGCTCCCACGCCCGTGTCCAGCGCGAGAAGCAGCCGCGCGATGCAGGCGAGAGAGCGAGCTGGCCCGCGCAACAGTGACTCACGACCCGTCGCGCGTTTCATCGCGCGCGCGCGCGCATGAGCGCGTATGCGCGACGCGCATGTGTATTGCGCGCATGCATGACACACGAGACGGTGCGTGCACGTCGAATGTGTGTCGCAGAGGTCGCGAGATAATCCCGTAATTATGATCTAAGGTCTACCCAGGTAGACTTTCATGACTATCGCGACCTGAGACAGTCGGTGACGGGGATTTTTTGTCGTTGCATTCGCGGAACAAGCGTACTGCGTTGTTGAATTAATCGCTAAGTATACACTGTGCGGTGATTTCAATATCCCGTTATTATATCGATGCAGCGACTAGTTTACCGAAAGTTACCCTCGGCTCTTCGTGCCATTGCAATTTACGTGACGTTCCGAGCAAATTTTCATCATTTCTTTCGTATTTCTTTTTGTATCTCTGTTTTGTTATTCTACGTGATAAATATGAACGACGCAGGAGCTGTTTATAAAAGGGATAGATAACCGGGTGAAGTTGGGAATTTTTTTTTAATTGAACTTAGTTGAAAGTTAATGGCTTGCAGGGTTTCGTGAACTTGTTTTAACCACAATCCATGTTTTTTAGAATGACAAACATCCGTGACTCACTTAGTTCTGGTAGATATGAAAAAGCGAAAGGATGAGAGTAAATTAATTATTTATATATATATCACTTTATGATATATTGTTGTATTAAAAGGATACGCAACTAGTCTGTACTTGACTTAAGTGTGCAAAACTACGGGAAGTGATGAAGTGTAATTTAACATTAAAAAATTTTTCACAACTCAGAGGGCTTGATTGATTACGTTTCGAAGGAAGTGCAAATTCAATCGGTCAAATCAATTCGAAGGTGCGACATTCATTACGAATATTTTGTAAAAATCTATCCTCAAGATGGTAAAAGTCTGATAAAATTCTAGAAAATTTCACAAAGAAGAACCGATCATAGTTTCAGAGAGAGAGAGAGAGAGAGAGAGAGAAAGAGAGAAAGAGTTTTCAAGCTATCAGGAGATTTTTATTCTAACCATGTGGACGAAACTACGTCTATTAGTTCATCGTCTCATAATAAACCGCTCAAGAACTAATAAACAGGCATAAACGAAGGAGTATATAAGATTTATGAACATCTAATCCATCTTTTTCATGCTTCAGAACAAAATCTAAATAGCGGCGGTTCTTCGAACTTTGCAAAAATATTAACTTATCGTCTTGAAAATCCGAACATTGGTCGAGTTAGAACTTTCTGCGAAGACAAAATTAATACTTTTCAAAGAAGAAAAGTGCTTTGCGTTACATTTAAGCATTTTTTTATCAAAACGATAATACATTAAATTAATAAATATAAATTAATTTAAAAAAATTAATAAATATAAATTAATTTAAAAAAATAAATTAAGAAGAATTTTGCATCAAGAGTGGTACAATCAATGGCAATCATACCATAAACTACAAAAGGCAAAATTAGAATATTATTCGTCAAAAGGGAAAATAACGATCACGAAAACATCCGCATTTATCGAACTTTAAGCTTTAAAAGCATATCTCGATATCACAGTCGCGAAATTCAAAGTTCGCAAAGAAGATACGGACTTAGATTCGTTCATCTCATACAATAATTAAATCTCCGTGGTGCAAAATCGACGAGATGAACGATACGATAATTTAACTATTGCATTAGTAAGCGGGGCTTCGATGGCGCGTCCGGTCGGGACACACACGAACAAAATTTTCGCAAGGAAAATGCATCATGGATAGCTCGGTTTTTATGAGAAATTATATTCCCATAAAATCAATCTCTAACGTTGCAAGGACAGGTGAAAATCCATCTTCTGTAAATACCAGAGCACGTGGTATCTCTCGAGGAGCCGTCGGCGAACCTTCTCATCGATAGCGGAATCCCACGAGATTGCGAAGCCGCGCCCTGAATCTGCCCGACGGTGGCCGCGGCGAGGGTGCTTCTTGCTTCGAATCGCTGCTACCGTAAATTAGTCCGGGTATCACGCTCAGAACGAACGCCAGATCGCCCAAGGACACTCGCAGTTTTACACTCTTCTCGTACGGCAGCCGAAGACACACGCGAGATTTCTCTGGCGCGTAACTTTATTGCGCGCATCATTGACATACGGATCGTCGCGGAAGCTGTTACTTATTTTCGGACCGCGCGTTATACGTGTATGATAATTTATTTGCTCATCCATGTCCCGCTGAAGACGACAAGCGAGTGCGACACGTGCGCAAATAATCGAAGAAAAAAGAAAACGTAAAAAAAAAAACGTAACGTTGTGGAGTTATCGTCTTCCTCGTCTTGTATTATTTTTTTTTAACCAAAACCAGCGGTTGTCATTGTTGACCGATCGAACGTCAAAGGGATATCCGTCAAGATCGGAAGGAGAATATTTTGTTCCGCAACGGAACGGGAAATGAAGGGGGGGAACACGGAAAGAGTCCGATAAATTTCACCCTTTCTTGGTTGCGATCTTCATTACGAGAAAATCGGGTTACTTTGCATTTATCTAAAAAGAAAGCGAAGTAAATTTGGAATCGCTTACAAGGGGTCGCCTTTCTTCTTTGAAAATATTTTCCGCGCATGGGAAAGTCATTTTCGTCGAAATTCCGATTTTTCGCCGAAAGCTTTGATTTTCAGACCAGTTGTGCAGCGATCGCCGATCGGCGGTCGCCGATCGTTCCCAGTTAAGAAGGTGAGACGCGTGCGCGCGTGCGCGAGAAGAACGATCTCTTACGAAAAAGCGCGTCGCGCCCGTAAAAGTCGACGATTTATTTTTACAGCGCTTGTCCCCCCATACGTATTGCGGCCTCGGCTGTAATAATCGCTCGCTCACACACACACGGGCCTGTTGTTCTTTCTCACGCCTAACGAGACTAATTTCCGACAGGCGCGGGGCGCGCCGAGGATACGGCGCCGATTCGTCATCGACTTTACACTCTCGGCCGGCCACCGTTCATCCTTTTTCCCCTTCGCGCGACATTAACGAGCGTTTCCACGTAAAACACGTAGCTCTAACTGTAAATCCTCGGCCAGCATTTTTTCGTACGCCGAGGGAAGTTCTTTACGGCCTTTCGTCCCGTCACAAAGTCGCTAAGGAGTGATCAGTTTCTATCCTCTTTGTCCTGTAACGCACAGATAAATATTTATACGACGAGGCCGAGTCACGCGAGATGTCGGGCCTAACAATCGCGGATAGTGGTGCTTTTATGACGTTCAACGCGTTAATTATCGGCGTATCGCATATATATTAGCGATACGTTCAACCCGTGTGAAGTAAATATGAAAAACAATCTTTGACTTTTCGTTCAATGAATGTGATTTTAATCCGTCATGCCTGGCGAATAATATTATAACATTTCTCCGAGTATCTGAATTTTGTTAAAAATAGTTTTTTTCATATGCGGAAAGTATTTTTAAAGGAGAAAAGTGACTCTTTGCAAATGATTCAAGATTTATTTCACTTTCTTTTTAGATAAATACTATATAACTAGGTAAATTACGTTTCTGAATTGAAGCCGGACAGTGCCAATGGCAAATCCGCGGAAATAATCGTTTACGGCACTTTCACTCCCTTTGAATCTACAAATCCTGTTGAAATTTTCAATGCTAATGTAAAATAATAATTTTAAAAAAATGATCAATAGAAAAAGTTAACTTTTATATTTACGTATCAATCTTCTTTATCTCATACTTATTATTCCAAATTTGCTTTATCTCATATTTATTATTCAAAGTTTGCTTATCTTATATTATCCTCAGTTAAGTAAATTATAAAATTAATACATTCTTTATTAAGAGAATGAAGATTAAATACAACTGAGACACCGAGTTAGTCGGATATTAAATCATTCTAGTAAAGTAAGAAGTAAGTTTCTCTTTAAATTTCAATACGAAGGAAACATCAGTTTTATATATATATGTACCATATATAAATTGAATTTACTCAACCTACTATATTTACTCATGTTTGACTGTTACCATCGACTCTTATCATTCCTCTACTGTGTCTGATTAATATCACACTGAGTGCGTGTTATCGGTGAAAAAGAAATCAACAAAACGATATGTCCCCGCATTCTCCCACAGTCACAGCCGCAACAATAGAGGGGTGCAGCGTGTCTGTCCGCGAATCCGCGACGAATATCTTGCCGTCGATTATCGCGGGGATCGCCGCACGGCGCACACGACTCTCCTCCGTGTGCTTCGGCTTGTCCTTAGGCGGGATATAACTGTGAATCCATCTCCATGCCATAAATGCACTACACGACGGCGGGGTCCGCCTTTCTCCTCGCAGCGGAGAGATGCTGGAAGGCGGCCCCGCCTCCGCGCTGTCCCCCCCGCGGCCCCGGGGCAATTAATTCGCTATTACCGCATTGCTGGGCCGTAAGTCACGGCAGGTAATTACCGAGCGGTAATTTCAGCCGCTGCTCAGTTACGCTGCCGGGATAATGGATACATCGTGCGGTTAACAGGCCCAGCGTGATTCGACAATCCGATTTCGCCCGATCTACGCCCGGCAGGCCTTTTCTCCGCGTGTTCGCGGCATCAGGGACAGCGGAACGGATTGTTCCGCGATAACGCGATAAAAACAGTCGCGCTCGTCGCGGTTTCGGATCGGGAGGCCCGACGACGGAAGCTCGAAGCGGGATCGACGTGAGACGCGGCGTCGAAGATTGAATTCTCAGAGCGTCGTCTGCCGGCTGTAAGACTCTCGTTTACGCTCAAATCGGAGACCACTCACCTCCATGCGTGCGGCGAAAATCCGGGACACATTTCCCTGCATTGTAAACAAGGCTGCCCTTCCTCCACGTCCGTGATGAGGACGCCCTGAAAAGCGAATGAACTTGAGGCAATCGTATCCCTCCGGCCGGTAATACGGCGGTTAAGAATAATAGACTCGGGATCTCAAGAATTACGATACGTTCTTTCGATATACACGAATTATATCGAATAATACAGTAAAATAACATGAAATTATATAATATATATAATTAATATATAATGAATTATATCGAATAATTAAGTAAAATAACAATAATGTAATAATAAAATAATAAATCAACAGTAAATAATATTTTGGAAATAATGACAATATAATACTCATGATAATAGTGATGATGATGATGATGATGATGTTGACAATAATGATAATAGTATTAATAACTATATTGTTTGCATGATAAAAGATATGCATGTGGTGCGATTACGTTAATTATAGTAATAAAACGTAAATAAAAGACGAAGCGTCAGCATTAAAACTGTTATAATCATTTAACCTTGACAACAATGTATGTATGTATATGCAAACGTATTCAGGGTGAATCATTTAATACCTCGTTTAAAAATAACTCAAAAAATATGCATTAAACGAATAAAGGACCGAAGTAAAAGTTGTTTGGTTTTGAAAGAAAATACCATCGTGTCTTTGAATTACCCTTATCGCATTTTTCAACGTCATTTTAAGATCAACTTTATTTTTTTAATAGAATCATATAGTTTTTATTTTAACACAAACCGATTTCTTTGTACATATTTTATGGGATATTTTATATTTTGTACTGAAACACATCAGAATGAAAAGCAAAATATCTTGAAAAATATTAATTTTTCAATAATTATATCCTAATACTTTTATATGGAGAATTTACATGGATATATTAAATGACTCAGTCTGCGTATATAAAAATAAGATGAAAATAAAATGAAATGAAAGAAACAGTCGCAACAATAGTAATGTAATGATAAAAATAATAATTCATTTTCCGCGTGATAAGAAGTATATATATATTCATGTAGTATATATATATATATATATATATATATATATATATATATATATATGCATGTAGTATAATTACGTCAATTAAAGCAGTAAGACGTAAACAAACATTGAGACATCAATATTAAAGCTGCATGTCTATTTAACTTTGACAACAATGTGTCTAATATATAGTACATGACAATGAAATTAAAATCAGTCACAACAATAACAATACAATAATAATGATAGTAATAGTAATAATAATGATGATAATAATAAAATGTTAATGTGACGATAAAATTGTTTACTGTCTACTAGAATTTAAAATATCTTGCTATTCTATCTTGCTATCCTTTCAAAATCAGGTATCGATTAGTCAGTCTACTGGAATTTAAAATATCTTGCTATCCTGTCTTGCTATCCTTTCAAAATCAGGTATCGATTAGGCTGAATAACATTCCGATTCGGGCGTCTCTTCGAGGCGGGGAAGAGGAACGCGGGAAAGTACAGCGTCATTTCGCATACGCGTGACGCGCGCTGACACGTGCGAACGAGGACAAGGTCCTCGCGAAACGACGCGCCGCGTGTAATTGGGAAAAGTTTTTAATTGCGCCAGCCTTGTTATGTCACAGCGACGTGTTTATCTCATTCGTAAGCGAACGATGAACCGCTAATGAGCGTCGCTAATAATAACTCGTAATAACAATCGTTGCGACATGAAAATCTATCGGGAAACGCACGCCGACTATGATCAAATAAGCCTGATTATTTTTTCGAATATTTTTCCGAGTTTCATTATGTGTACGTGTGCCTATATAGGTGAATATTTAATATTCCGTACACGAAAAGAATCTTTGTCGAATAATCACATCACATACATCATAATAAAAAAAAATTGTTATTCATATAACGAAAAGAATTTATTCTTACGCTAAAGTCAAAATTTATATATCACAGTGTGTAATTTATTAGTTAGTTTATTCAGATATTTTCTTTAATCTGACGATATAAGAAGCAATAACTAACTTTTTTTATAATTTTTCGAAACTTTTCCGATATGACGAATGTATCTTGAAATGACTAATGCGGTGTTTTTCGGTTTATAAATGCTAATATTCTTTAGTAAAATTCTCCCTATGTTATACGCAAGTTAATGAATTTTAGTGAAATTTATTTTCGTGAATTCAAACTCTTGGAGATTTTATTTCAGCGAAATGCGTTTTAGTGAATTGTCCTTCGTAGATATTGATCAGTGACGAAACATAAAAAATGCTTAAGGTTGCAATACATTCTGTCGATATAAATTTCCTCTCAAAAGTCTAGTCAAATTATACTAACGGTAAAATTAAATTTATGCATCACCTGTCAAATTAAAGTGTCTCCTTCTATTATTTATTTATAAAGCGTTAAGTAGGTATTTAAATGGTGATATAAGTCGCTTCTTATAGATAGCCAAATTAAAACCGACTGTAAAATTAAATTTATATATCATGTGCCAAATCAAGATATCTCACTATTATTTGTCTATAAAGTATCGATACATACTCGGTGTATGTGTGAAATATGCTCAATAGGACGAGGAACGAGATATATAGTTGGTAAGCTCGAAAATTACCGTCGATCGACCTCACCGCTCTGGAGTGCGTGCCAGCCGTCGAAGAACAAGAATAACAAATGCCATATTCGCCGGATTGTCGGTGCTCGACCTCTAACAGACACTAGAGTGGGAGAGGTCAGACGTTAAGGACGCTAATTCTCAAGCTTTGATGGTTTGTTTTACGATGGTCGATTAATACGATACGATGTGATGCAGCCAAAATGACAGCGCCCCGACGTAAGATAGCGCACAACTTATTTCTTAAAAAAAGAAAAATAAATATATATATATATATATATCTTAAAAAATATATACATATATATTTGTTATATGTAAAATTGTCAACCTGCCTTTATATGGGTGTATTTTAAAGTCTGAGGAAAGATTTCACGGGAACTTCGATTACAGAAAAGAGAAAATGGACAATCTCGTGCGTTAAGGATGCGTCGCGCCAGATAGACGACATCCGGAACTTTAGTGTCGAAGACTTTCGAGACTTTCAGGCCGCAGGAGCGAGCGAACGAACGATGCCGAGCTCATTCATCGACGCTTTCCTCATTAAATAAATCGACGAGCCGGGCAGGATGTAATAGCGGTGTTACATTATCGCCGTAGCTATTACCGATCGCTCCTGCTGCAACTATCGACCCGCATTACTCCGTCTTCGTTCGAGGAACATTAATAATACATCGATTTCCTCACACGCCCTGGAAGCCGAGATCGCTCAAGCCCCGAGAAACATAAATAATAGCCGTTTCGTCACGCATTAGTCACCGGTCGCCGTTTTTAAAAGCGGCCACTGGTATTTTCGACGACGCCTTTATTCATCTTGCTTACGTCGCGGGGATCGCACTGATGAGATGCCGCGGATCCTCCGAAGAGGAACGCGATCCACCGGAGCGGCTGATCTTATTCTAATTAGGATAACGGACTCCGTGGGCGAAAATTAATTATTCGAAAGTAATTCGGCGAAAGTGCGCTCAAAACGAACGGAGGAAAAGGTAACGAAAGATACTCTTTAAGGCTATAACGGTCTATACGGCCCGATTCACGTTTACAGCGCTATAAACGTCATTCTACCTTTGTTAGACGCCGAAGAAAAATCAAATGACGCTCGTAGCGCTGAAAGCGTGAATTGGGCCGCAGTCTAGATTTCTTGGAGCGGAAGCTCCAATTTAAAACGAATGAGAACTAGCGATATCTTCACCCGAGGTAATGGTGAAAATATTGTCACTCGAAATCGCAAAAGTGAATGTTCCGCTCAGACTTAGAGGGGATTCCGACTCAATGCCGCTTTTATACCGATACTTTTCATCGTATAACATCATCCGTACGACAACCAAAAATGAACCGATTTATCCAAATGCCGGTATTGGACGACCGATATCATACTGAAACTTTCATAATACCGGTAAAATAATAGTACTGCGAATTCTGATGCGATGTCGGTGTAATATGAAATATAAAGTATGTACACAATATCAATGTAAAATCGATAAAAAAATAATTTCGATATTCAGATTAAAAATACAAGGTTTCGGGTGAGAACAGCGACTCAAGGGTGATTCAAGGCGGAGAAAGAACACTCGATGGTCTCGAGACATCGCCTAAGTTCGCCTCGAGATTATCATCCTTCCGATCATTCGAAATCGCACGCAGTGCCAATATTCGGCCGGTCCGGCTTTCCTCGGCCTTTCCTCGCGGCTCCCATCGGTCGAGCGAAGAACCGTGCGGACATTTGCGGGAAGAAAGCATCGTAAAATCCACGGAAACGATTCCCGCGAGAAGATACGCCGACCGTCGTGCGGCGAGAAAGAAGGAGAGGATCAGCCAGGGTCCGTCCGTGAGAGAAAGAAAATCCCCCCCGTTCCTACGATTGAAAGAGCCGCCTCAGGGTGTGTTTATCGGGCGCTATTTGCGCCGGTCGGACTTACGAGCGACCCCGGTCCACACAGTCACATCGGTATGTCTACAAAGAGCGGAGGAGAGAGAGAGAGAGAGAGAGAGAGAGAGGAGAGAAGAAGAGGAAGCGCGATGGAAAGCTCGAGGCGCGAGAGGTTGATGCGTTCAAGAACCTTCCCGCCGACATATATGGTCAGTCCGCCCACGTGGATCCACTCGCGCCGACCTCATCGCCAAATATCGAGTAGACGAGTGCGTACCCGGGCGTTGGAAAATGTGCCGGCCAATCTGTCTCTAGCTGTCTATATATAGCGATCCCGGAATAATGACGGCCCGGTCGGCCGAGAGCGCGCGCTCGCCGCCGGCTAATTAACATATTTTTCGTCCTGACTCACCGATCGATGGACCGCTCGCTCTCTCTTTCGCGATGTCAAGGCGAATCCGCGCGGAGCGAAGGCAGGGACGTGCATGGAAATGAACGACCCCGCGGTGATGTAACTGAATTTTCCGCTTGCACCGGAAAACCGGATGGAAACTCGGTTATGGGAACGAGAAAGATTGCCGGCG